TCTACTGCATTAATGTACATATGCCATGCTGGCGTGGTTGCGCTGGTCCCTTGTACCGGTGTGGTCCAGCGCTTTCGAAGTGAGTGAGTGAGTCAGTGTGCGTATCGTTTCCTACATACATCTATGGAGCCGTTTGGCACCCGTTTGGCATGAATACCAATCTACCAATCAATACTAAATATGATACGAAAGGCACAAAAAGAAAGGCGCAGATCTGACGCCATCGCAACAGTCATAGCCCACCCTTCTGCAAACAAGACCTCTCGAAGCAGGCACGGCCGAGACCTGTTCCTCCCTTCTTACTAATTTTCGATACCCAGGTAGGATCCAAATCCGTTTTACCCCAGGGGGTCCAATGCGTGAAGCCAGGATGAAAAATATCACCCGTTATTTCTTTGCGTGTGTGCTACAAGCTTGCTTCCACCAGAGGATGCTCGCACAAAGTCCACGCAACGCCGAATACTCGATACCTTCTTGACTTTCATACAGTTGGTATCGGTGAGGGCAAGGGAACGATATCATTGTTGTTTTCGTCCCATCTTCTGCCCATCAGGGCAACGGGTACCTTGGCCAATCAGCGGCTTCAAATTGTACCAAAAAAAAAACGAATATTTTTTGGCACCTACACGTGTTCTTCGCTCTTCTTGCCTAACGGATTCTCACACCAGGTGACGCTCGCCCGGCTGTTCCGCACGGTGTATGCACGGGGTACGATAACATTGACAAAAACAGACACCGATGTCAGCACTCAACATCCAGCGACCAACTACCGCACCCGCCTCCCGCCTCCCGCATACGCGATTACACTAACGGGACTGTGAGAATTGAAAAGCGAAGGAGGCGTCCGCAACTTGCGCCTAGGCGTTGAGCGCTGCGGGCGGGGTAAGCAGTACTGGGAGCATTCCGAACCCTGGAACCAACCTTAGCGTTGGTTGTTGGTTGCAAGAGGGCCAATACCGATAGGGAGTTCCTCGGTTTTGTGGCAGGGCTGCGTGCATACGCATGGGTAAGAAAATACAGCGTTCTGTTCATGATTTGAGCGAATTGCAAGCCGTCTCCAGATTGTGGAAGGCATGGCTACGACTTCTACTACCGCACGGCGTACCGGTTGAGACGTTACCAGGGGCGTCTACATAGCCCCTTTCTCGCTGGCGTGGTGGCCGCCCTTGAAGGCCAAAGCTGCTGATGGCAATGGTACCGGGTCACCTATGTACACGACATGATGTCTTGTGCGTAAAGGGACCACAGCAAGTGAGCAACAAAAAATCTCGCCGGAACGGTGGAGTTGTCATCGAAAAACAGATGCACATGTCTCGATGATCTCGATGAGATACCACGGTCGTGGCAATGGTGAACCATGAATCGGAGTCAAAAACTGTTTGTCGGAATTTAAGAGACGTTCAAGTCCACACAGCGCTACCTGGTACTTTCGTGTAATCCTACAGCAATAGAGAAAAATGACAATCATGAGAACCCCGGTGGCCTCTCGAAGGCGGCGCCCTCGACAAAGCACCTCTAACCCCACAGAGAGGCAGCCGCCTGGGAAGGCGAAAACACCTAGAGACGTGCGGGCACAGTCCAGCAAACAAATCGTGAGGTTCGTTGGCGACATTTATTTGCTTTCGGTCACGCTGCTGACTCTTGATTCGATCTGCTGCAGGCTCCTTTTTCAGAATGATAATCCTGTACCAACGACAGAGTTGCAAGTCACCCGACAGTCAGTACGATGCTCCACAAGATTCTACTAACCAAAGGTATGAAGTCAACGGATAACTAACCCGTCGCCAGAAGTCGCGCTGTGTAGCGGTCAGCGTTGAACCAACAGCCGGAAAGAATGATACCTTGCTGACTTTACCCATAATGGTCTTTCCGAGACAATTTACAAGCCTAACGCGGGACATCGCCTTCATGAAACCCGGCTTTCCGCCTCAGCAAAACACAACTGCTAACTAGCAACACTCAAACACCTGAGGTGACTTCTTATGGAATCGTCTTTTGGCCGTCCCTTGTTACGAAAAGGGACAACCGTCCAAAGAAACGTTGCCCACGACGAGCAAAAAACACATTGACAAAACTATCGTCTCCTATGCACGTGCACGAATCTAGAATCTGGCTCCGCTCAGGATCACATGTGCCGCTTCTGGGATATATACCCCCCCTAGACCTTGCTTCCCGCCCGCGCCGCATCGCCAAGAAATCGTACCCATCACACATTTCGCCTCAGATCGCTCACTGGTGCGGATCTAGAGTTGGACGAGAGAGAGAGAAGCCGCCTTTCTTCCCCCCATCACATGCGCAAGTGCTTCGCAAAGAACTGCTTCCCGCGATGCACCGGAGAATTGCCCCCGCCGGCTCTCGGCGACGACAACCCGCTACCACCGCCGGGAGGCGTGTGCGCCCCGCTCCCCGAAACCCCGAACACCCCTGACCCGGAGCTGTCGCGGCCCGTGTGGGTCGGGGAGGTTAGGCTAGAGAATGATCCACCGAAGGCGCCGCTGCCGCCGCCAAAGCTCCGGCCACCGGCGGAGGAGGGGGACGCGAGGCCGCTCTCTTCGCCGTCGTCTAAGCGGGATGAGCTTCCTCCGCCGTTGGTGGAGCTCGGCATGTTGTTGTTGTTGCCGCCGCTGCGGGACGGGGGCCCTCCGCCGCCGATCTCGGTGGCCGCCCGCTTGACGGCAACGGCTCCCGGGTCGAGGGTGTGCTGGTAGCACAGCGTGCAGAGCTCCTCGTACCTGGCATTGTCATTGTCAATGGTGTTGTTGTTGTTGTTGTTGTTGTTGATATTTCGTTTTCGAGGTTACAAGTCGCGTTGAGGACACGCGCATCGAACCGCTTGAACCGAAAAAAATAAGGGAGATAAATGTAATACGAAACGTGAGCCTTTGAGAAACCGGGTTTCGTATCGCCATAGCGTTGACGTTGCCTTTTCCCGTCTACTGTAGGTCTCTACAATGATGGGCAATGACGGCCAATTACTGCCGCAAAACCCAACGTCCTTCACCTCCCTGACGACCCTCCTCCCTTGCGTATGGCCACATATGTAGTAGTGCCAAGGGATTTGCGGCCGCCCAAACACCGTGCGCCTGGGGCTACTCAAGATGATGAGGCAGGTTGAATGTTGATTCTGTGTTGCGCGATATTACCAGGGCGACCGGCCCAAATTATGCGGCCTTATACAGGGACCACTAATTTTCTCACGCAAAAAAACTTTAAGCAGCGCACAGGCAGTTTCCCCATCTGATAGTAAAAATTGTGGCTTCAATCGCGGTGTCTTTAAATTCAGCTGTGAACGTCTGCTTACATCCAATTGTGACTGTCCAACGGTTGGTACATCTTCATGCGAGCTGCGAGGGACGCAAAAGAACCTAAATATGAAATGCTCGCTCAGGTTCGGGGCCGTGGGGGTATGTATCGACCTCATACCATACCTGGCGAACCGTTCCAGAACTCTGGATACCACAACAAGGCGCACGTTCGAAACATCCCATCACTACTGGGAACTCCCGTACCGTGACGGAGGGAGCCGCCATCACCCTCCTGGGTGCTGGCGGCACACCCCTCCCATATCGCATAGGAAGCGTATCAAATCTACTCCACAACACGTCGCTGAAAAAACTAGAGTGTTTCCGACGGTAAGATTAAGATTACCTCGAGAACATAGCGAACAGCGTGTCGGAGAGCTTCGCCCACAGCGGTCCCAGCAGCTGGCCCTCTTTGGTCACGTGCTTGACCATCCGCTGGTGTGTCGCCTTCAACCCTTCCGAAATTACCTGCCCCCCGCCCCCAAAAAACATAGAAACGTAGGTGTATTGTGTAAGACAGCGGATTGGTGTGAGAGAAAGACAAACATTGCCCACACAGACCATAAATACGACCTGCACGCCTGAAAGCACTAAAAAAAAGATAGGAAAACAGGAATGCGGGCGTATTGGAAAGCGGAGAGGTTTGAGATAAAGACAAACACCGACCACACAGACCATAACTACGGCCTGCACTCCTGAAAACACTGAAAGAAACATATTCCTGTGCGACCACGGGTTAGAGCAAACAGCACGAGTGCTGTGAGCGCTGATATTGAAGTGTGTAGACAAAGAAAGAAAGAAAAAAAAAACGCAAGAAGAGCAGTATTGCCAAGCAGACCTTCATGTCCCCCTGCCTCTTGAGCGTCGCCTCTAGGTTCCGTTTCGGCTCGTGGTAGGTCACGTCCGCCGCTCCCACCGTCATGACGAGGTCTTCGACCTTGGCGAAGAACTGGGTGAGGACGGGGAACTGGTAGCCTACCAGCCATTCCAGGTACCTGTGCGGGAGAATACCATATGCACATGTGTGAAGGGCTGGTCCCGTGTGGACACTCACCTTTGTGGGAAAAACTCTTGTTGTCAAGGGTGACTACGCCGCCGACCAGACGAGAACCAAGCTGTGGCAGCAGGGGCACATTACGGCACCGTTAAATTTTCGCACGCACGTTTGCGGTATTTCTGGCGTTTGGATTTAGTTTTTCTTGCTTTTTTTTGTCCTTGTCGTGTTGATCAGTTTCCTCTCCTTTGTCCAAGGCTACCCCGCCATCCACTCCAGGTACACCCGCGCGGAGCAGACAACATGTTCCCTTCCTACACTTTCGCACGCTGGCGATATTTCTTGCGTTTCCAGTGTTATAAGTATTATACTTCATTTTCCTTCTCTTGTTTTGGTCAGTTTCCCCTCTTTTCTCCCAGGCGAGCCCGTCAGCCACTCCAGGAACCGTATATTGCCTACCTGCGGCGAGACCACATCAACTTCTAGAACGTACCGTTTCGTCAATACTTGGTGTATTTGTTTCCGTTCCGTGAGTACGCGATTGCATAGTCCACCACGAAGTGGATTCATAAATCAAACGATGCCATTTTGGAAAACTCTCTACGAGACGGTTTCCGTGGAATGAGAACCCGAGCCTTGAGAATGGGGCCAGGGTGTACGATATCTTCTGTCGCGTACGGCATGAAAAACGGGTCAGGGGTCCGGGGGTGTGATATCTTCCGTCACCTACGGTATGCATACTGTAGCACAAGGCACGATAGGGTAAGGAAAGAGCTGACCTCGTGGTAGAGACTTCTTCCAGCTTGTCCGCCTGCTCCACGTACTCGCTCAGAACCTGCACCTGTGGTTTGTCGCGTATCGTACAGCACAGTAGTCCAACAAGAGGGATGTTGTCGGGGCGTCGTGACGAAAGGGGCTATCTGGCTGTTTTCTTGGCCACAACCTGCTTGTGACGTGACGTAACAGGTCTTTCGTGCTGCGGTCCTTGTGTTTTATTGTGAAATCCGGAAATCCACCTCTGTATTTGACGACCAGAAGCGAAAACACCACCACCACCACCATCACCATCACCATCACCAACAAAAAACAACAACAACAACAACAACAACAACAACAACAACAACAATAACCGAATAATCACAACACCAACCCAACAGCGACCCCAACAACGCGAGGGGATTGCGCCAGTCTTGGCGAGCACGCTCGCTCCCTTCTTTCACCTTACCTTTAGCGGGCGCATCGTGGCGGCGAAGAAGTGGTAGTTCTCCAGCCGAACCATGTGCTCGTATTTCGGGTTCCTAGACGCGACTTCTTCGACGTGCTCGAACAGCGCGATCACCAACCTCTGGTAGGCCTTTTGGGCCTCCCCTCCCTGACACCAACCGTTCGGCGGAGACAGAGTCGCGGCCGGGACGACTGCAGCGTTAGGGGTCTCGGAAGGGCTACGGCTGTAGGGTTAGGTCAAAGTGCTCCACGAAATCGAGCTGGGCTCTCCAAGTCGTTCGCTAAGATCATGTCTCGTTTAAGCTCGTCTATCATACGGTAATAATACAGAAAACGCGTTGGGGCACGCCTGCCTCGAAAGCTTGACGTGCAAACCTTGCCTTCCGCTACGTGCAGAGTCGAGTCAGGTCTTCGTGAGGGGGGATGATGCTCACGTCACAAACTATTTCACAAAACAACACAAAAAAAAAAAAAATCATTCGTTGAGCCATAGACATGCACACCTCTCACTGCTGGTACCCACGGCAGCATGAGTAGAATCAACGAAAAAAAAACAAAACATTCACCGTAGACATTCCCATACACACACTAGTAGAATCGCGAGAAAAGAGTCGTATGTCAAAACACACATGCACACCTCTCGCTGTTTCTCTCGACGGAGTACAATCGAATCAACCACACTACAACTCATTCGTGGCAATCAAACACAGACACGTAAACCTTTCATGCTTACACAGCAGTAGCATACCCGACAAACCAAAAAAAGGAGACAGCCACAGACACGCACACCTCTCGCTGTTTCTCTCGACAGAGTACAATCGAATCCACCAAACAACAACCCATTCGTGGCAATCACACACAGACATGTAAAACCGGCCATGCTTACACAGCAGTAGCATATCGGACCAACCAAAAACAGGAGACAGCGATAGTCATGCACACGCACACATACCTCGTCCTGTTCCTTGGCCTTGGCGTTGCCCCTGGTGCCAACCACGGCAGCGTTGGAAGCCGCCTGGAGCCTCTTGAGCAGGGTCGGGGCCTTCGCAACGGCGGCTAGAATGCCCGCCTTCTTCGCGTCGCCCCTCTGGGCTTGGATCCAAGACACCTGGGGCATTTATGAAAAATATTGGTTGTCTTTTGCCGTCGGATAACAAGGATGAGGGGAACTTTACCAGAAAAACGAAAAATATATACATGCTCGAAGCATATATAACGGTTGTTTGAAGCATTAATTGTGTTATCATCAGGAAAAAACTATTTGGGCCCTTCTTTCAGAAAAAGGAATACTGAGTATCGTTGTTGTCCCCGCAAAAAACAAAACATGAGGGGAATTGTTCAAGACCAGGAAAAAGAAAAACAGCAGCGGCAAGCCGCCTCCCACCTGGTCCTTGATGAACTTGCCGAAGCGGTGCATGAGCAGCCCCTTGAACTCCATGAGGATGCCCAGGGTAACGAGGTGCGCCTGTTTCAGCTGCGCCTGCTCAATGAGGGCCAGGACCCCCAGCGTGTCGAAGGGGTTGTCCCCTAGGTCGGACGCGAGGCGCTTGAAGCTCACCTTAAGCTCCCCGAAGCCTACCTCCAGCATCCTGGATGACCGCGATGCCGTCGAACACAAGACAGCGGCAGCGGCGGCGGCGGCGAAAATATAGTGAGGGAAACCTCGTCGTGGCGGCCGTTATTGTTGTGGTTTGGTTGTGGCTGCTGTTGTTGTCCTCACGTAGAAATGTAGGACCCGGTGAATGTATTCAATACGTACAATGACCCCACTCGCCTCAAACAATGTGCCTCCCCCCCCCCGGCCATTCGCTCACTTGTGGACGGCGTCTCTGAGGCAATACTTACAATCTGTTGTGTCCCCTGTGCCTACAATGCCCCCCCCTCCACCGTCGGCTCCATCCACTCGAGGACGCTTGGTCAAGGGTTTATCTAACCGCTAAGACATGCAAAACATGACTAGCCCCCCCCCCCCCACTCGGGTTTTCGTCGCTTGGCAACGACGTTGTAAAACAAGCCGCCCCCCCCGGTGTTTGCCATCGGGGTTTGGGTTTTCGTCGCTTGGCAACGACGTTGTAAAACAAGCCCCCCACTCGGTGTTTGCCATCGGGATTGGGTTTTCGTCGCTTGGCAACGACGTTGTAAAACAAGCCAATTCACTTCGTGAACTCGGCAACCAGGTTACCGTTTTTTTTTTTACCTCGGTTTTTTTTTTTTGGCGGTAACCATAATGGTGGTCGAGTAGATCATGTTGTGCGGGGTCGAGAAACCTCACTCCGCGTAACGGGGGATGATCGCACCACGTTGTGTTAAAATGGTCAAGCTTCCTCGAGGCAGTTACACAGTGCTTACAACTGTCTCTGGAAGTGAAAGCACCAGAAAATAAATTAAGTCATACGTAGCTGTCATCCGTACGCAAGGAAGTAAGCACAAGATGCCGAACACCCTTAGCAGGATGCAGCTCACCCTTCATGCGACTCGCCAAATACCTCACGGCGCTTCGCGCTTGGTGATGTGAGAGCCTGGTCCGGTGAGAACCCGGCGTGCTCCGTCCCGGCTTTGTAGGGATGCGAGGTCAATGGTCAAACGACTACGGCATGCACGACTATGAGTACACCCCCCCCCCCCCCCCCCCCCCCCGGTGGAAATACTTAACACCCGTCGAACATGAACCCAAAAGATGAACCTACTTCTCAGGACA